GACCCAAAATGGATGAATAATAGGCTCAAATATCTACTAGGGCATAAGAAAGGAATTTATAGGCGTATCAAAAGAGGTGAGGGTCATCTTATGAATCAGTATATTGACATTAAGAGGGACATTAAAAAGGGGATAAGAAAAGCTAAAAGGGACTATGAAATTAAAGTTGCTAGGGATTCTAAAACTAACCCAAAAAGTTTTTTCCAGGTCTATAGAACAAAAGTTAGAGATAAGATAGGTCCCCTTAAAAATAACTATGGGCACCTTACTGACAAAGAGAATGAAATGTGCTCGATTTTAAATAATTATTTTCTCTCAGTTTTTACACAGGAAGACACTAACAATATTCCAGTAATTAATTTTTACAGTGGGCTAGAAGAAGATAAATTATGTAACATCACAGTCACTAGTGAGATGGTTGTGAAGCAGATAGACCGACTGAAGCAAAATAAGTCGCCGGGTCCTGATGAGGTTTTTTCAAGGGTTCTTAAGGAATGCAAAATGAAACTCTGTGAACCATTAACTAATATTTTTAATTTATCTCTTCAAACAGGTGTATTGTCTGATATGTGGAAGATGGCTAATGTAATTCCTATTTTTAAAACAGGGGACAAGTCGTTACCGTCAAATTACCGCCCAATAAGCCTGACATTGTAGGCAAATTACTAGAGTCAATTATAGCTGAGATTATAAGAAGCCATCGCGATAAGCATAGCTTGATTAATGATACTCAGCATGGATTCACAAGAGGCCGGTCTTGTCTAACTAATTTATTAACTTTCTTCAGTAAAGCTTTTGAGGCTGTTGACCACAATAAAGAATTTGATATTATTTACTTAGATTTTAGTAAGGCTTTTGATAGAGTTCCGCACCATAGACTGTTAAAGAAAGTGGCAGCTCATGGCATTGGGGGGAAAAGTGCTCTCGTGGATCGAGTCATGGCTCACTGACAGGAAGCAGAGAGTGTCCATAAATGGGGTTAAATCCGAGTGGGGATCTGTAACAAGTGGCGTTCCACAGGGATCAATCTTGGACCCGTTGTTGTTTATAATATATATCAATGATCTTGATGAGGGAATTACTAGTGATATGAGCAAATTCGCCGATGACACAAAGATAGGTAGGATAATTGATTCAAACGTAGATGTTATGGAACTTCAGGAGGATTTAAACAAACTCTATTCTTGGTCAGAAAAGTGGCAGATGCAGTTCAATGTAGATAAATGCAAGGTTCTGAAGCTTGGGAGTGCCCATAACCCTAGTACTTATAAGTTAAATGATGTAGAACTTAGCCATACAGATTGCGAAAAGGACTTGGGGGTTATGGTGAGCAGCAACCTTAAACCAAGACAGCAATGCCTAAGCGTACGTAATAAGGCAAATAGATTACTGGGATTTATGTCAAGAAGTGTAAGCAACAGAAGTCCAGAGGTCATACTGCAGCTTTATACATCATTAGTAAGGCCTCACCTAGATTATGCAGCTCAGTTCTGGTCTCCGTATTACAAAATGGACATAAATTCGTTAGAAAACATTCAGCGTAGGATGACTAAATTAATACATAGCATTAGAAATCTTCCTTATGAAGAAAGATTGAAGACTCTTAAGTTACATTCACTTGTTAGACGAAGAATGAGGGGAGACCTGATCGAAGTGTATAAGTGGAAGATAGGTATTAATAAAGGGGATATTAATAAGGTCTTGAGGATGTCTCTCCAAGAGAGAACCCGCAGTAATGTATTTAAATTAGATAAGTTTAGATTTAGAAAGGACATAGGAAAGTATTGGTTTGGAAATAGGGTAGTTGATGAGTGGAACAGTCTACCTAGTTGGGTTATTGAGGCTAGGACTTTGGGTAGTTTCAAATCTAGGTTGGATAAGTACATGAGTGGGAGGGGTTGGATTTGAGTGGGACTTTCACATCAGAGCTTATTTCTTGGGTGGCATTGAAAATTGGGTTGGGCAAATGTTTTGTTAGTGGGATGAATTGTAAAGGACCTGCCTAGTATGGGCCAGCAGGCCTCCTGCAGTGTTCCTCCTTTCTTATGTTCTTATGACTCACGAAATCGTAATGACACGATTGCAAACAAACCATACCACGGGCGGGGATAGAACACTCTCTGATCGCGGGTTCTATCCCCGCCCATGGTATGGTTTGCAATCTTGAGTCATGTTGACGGCTTTGAGGGGACTTGAGCTAGAGTTTGTCACGGCCACACTAGCTAGAGATTCGTTTGTAAAAATTTGCATTTGTGGTCACAGTGGTGCCTATGCTAACCTTCCTATGGTGTAGAAATATACCTAGTTGGACGAATCTTATTATGGCTAGTTGGTCCAGTGGCCAACGAGACGGTCTGGAGTTTCGAGACTCTCTGATCGCGGGTTCTTTCCCCGCCCGTGGTATGGCTTAATCCTACCATACACCATTTTTCAATACTTATGAGAAATGGAGACATGCTCATAGACGTTATTTATATATTTTTTTCTTTTTTGGGTGGCAAACTTTTTCAAATCAGGAGAAAGTACATGTGGAGCTTGGGAATATAAAGCCAGGATGACTACTATGTAGAGGTGCGAGGGTCCGGGTTCGATTCCCGGCTAAGGGGCCGAAACATTGTAAGTTTTACCTTACACCGGTTGTCCCTGTTCATCCATCAGTATAAAATGGGTACCTGGGTGTTAGCGGACTGGTGTGGGTCGCATCCTGGGACAAGACTGACCTAATTCGCAGGAAATACTCAGCATAACAAGCGGCTTTCTATATAATAGTACGTCATTGATGTCAGCTATGATCTGTATACCTTGTACATGTACTGGTAGTAAATAAAGATATTATTATTATTATTATTATTATTATTATTATTATTATTATTATTATTATTATTATTATTATGACATGATCATGTGAATATGTGAAAAGATCAAGTAGTCCAGTTTGTCGAAAAAGAGGAGATCCATAGGTTGAATACTTCTTCATCCCCTTGTTTATGATGGTGTCAATTCTGATAGTTGATACTAATGTCTTCTGGTGAGATTGTCTTCCTCTAGTTACTGCAGCATCCCAAAACCTGAACTCAGTCTAGCTGACCGATTTTCCCCGAGTTCTTTCATGGATATCAGCCAGCTGCCTGAATCTCAAATGCTATTTACATATTGAGGTGAATGCATCTCTGATGCATTCACTCCTAGTATCCTAGTTTCCTCCTAGTATCTGCAAAACTATTTGGTGTAATAGACAGGAAATCCTTCGTACGCGATAGTTTGACAGAAAAAAATATATATCCTCAGTGTTGAAGGATACGTGATAAGACAACATCGTTTGCGGTGGAATGATGAGAATATCATCACGCTTGACATATAATGATTGGAAAATCATCCTATGGGAGGGGGTAGGACAGAAACCCATCTCATGTGGGGTATGGCAAGAAAATTATCTTGTGAGATGGAACAGGGCGTGAAAGCCGTGTAGTGTGACAGAATATAAAAAAAACTACCCCGTGTGGCGAATAACAACACCAGAAATTATCCTTCGTGATGTAGTATGAGAGAAAATTTTCCTGTGTGACTGAGACTGTCAGGAACAAAATATTTTTAACGATGGACTGTGAGAGAAATATTCCTAGTGTAACTTGAGTATGACAAATATCGTATGACAAATATCGTTTGACAAAAATCGTGACAAAAGGCACAATACTGTGACTGATACAACACACGAATAACCCGCACATAGGACAGAGGAGCTTTACGACGACGTTTCGGACCGACTTGGCCATTTACAAAGTCAAAGTTACGTCGTCGTAAGCTCCTGCCTCATACACTTGTATCTATAAAAACAGCAGGAGAGTTAAAACGAATAAAAATGGAAGATTTCCTTCAGATTTCCATTATGATTTAATTTTGATTGATGTAAATTATACGATTTTCTAAAGAACTTCTGGAAAATTTGTCCTCGAGAAATTTTATCCTTATTGTTGGCTAATTGTATAGGAAAAGTCACCTAACAATAATTTGTTATAAGATCTGTTCACTGAGTGCTGGCACTATGACTTACACTGTGGCACTATGTGTAGTTTAACTTTGCTTAGAGGGTGATGGGGGGGGTCTGATAAAGACCCCTGTAACCTCTGTAATTTTGTTCTTTTGTAACCTCTGTAATCCTGTTGTTTTGCGCTGCTGATTGCAGGTTGAGCTGCGGGTGTACAATAAACTATCATGCAACAAGAAGCACGACAATGGGGGAGCTATTATGGGGACCAAATCTGCAGTCACCCGTAGCTCACCCTAACTGGAGTCTGTGGGTGTCTCGCTGAACACAGTGAAGAGTTGTCACTCGCATATATCGACTAAGTATAATCAGAAAGGGTTAATTGTGGTAATTATTGAATCAGTATTGATTACCCTCAGCCAGTGCAATTTCCGTATTTTACTGGAAACATACATTTCCGAAATGACTCAAACTACAATTAATCTATTTTTCATTATATCTTAGCAGACATATGTACACATATAAGGTTTAATAAATCAAACCATTGTGGAATATTTGTATACTTCGTCTTCCAACAAACCGGCCGTATCCCACCGAGGCAGGGTGACCCAAAAGATAAAATGAAAGTTTCTCCTTTTAAATTTAGTAAAATATACAGGAGAGGGAGTTACTAGACCCTTGCTCCCGGCATTTTAGTCGCCTCTTACGACACGCATGGCTGACGGAGGAAGAATTCTGCTCCACTTCCCCACGGAAGTGATCGCGCCAGTAGTTCAGAGTGGTCTTGCGACTGAGTTCCTTGATCAGTCAGGTTAAGCAGTGTTGTGTTTGTGTAGTTGTGAGTGTGTTTGTTGTTAGACTGGAAGGTCGTAGCTCTCTCAGGAAAGGGGCGTGGTGACATCTATAGGAACTACAGTAAACACTCCACTCCTCCCTCCCTCCAGCACTCCCACCCTGGGAGAGGCTCAGTATATAACTCCACAGCTCTGGTCAACATCATTCATTCTCTCGTCCCAGCAACAACATGAAGGTGAGATACAACTACTAAACAGTGTTTACCTTCATTTTTCCGAGTAATCAATTATGTTTACTGAAAACCTAGTTTTACAGACACTATTGCTGTTGCTTCACAGATCGTGTTGGGCACCGAAGTCTGGTCATCAGCTACTAAATTTATGTCTGTGGTTTTTTATAATGGTCCTGCGCCATCTGTGTTAGGTGGCGCATTCTGGTCGTCATCAGGAGAAAAATAATGGTTGCCTTTTCCTTACGCAGGTGGTATTTGCTCTAGCCATGGTGGGTGTCGTGGTGGGTGTGCCACCACAGTATGGTTACCCTCCTGCCCCACACTATAGGCCCACTCCATCCTACCCTCCTGCCCCACACTACAAACCCACTCCATCATACAGCCCAGCTCCCTCCTACCAGCCAGCTCCCTACCATCCCACTCCATCCTACAAGCCATCCCCGTCCTATGATGTAAGTTATCTAAGAATATTTAAGTGCTTATTTACTTATTATATATTTTAGATGTGAGAAATATTAAGATTATTTAATATAATGCTAACAGAAAATAATACAGCCACATTCTGTGATAAGTTATTTTATGATCATTCCACAGAGTCATCCACGGTACGACTTCAACTATGCTGTGAAGGACGACTATTCTGGTAACGACTTCGGTCACCAGGAGACTCGTGATGGCTACAACACCCAGGGGACTTACTACGTGCAGCTCCCAGACGGTCGTCTGCAGCAGGTGACCTACACTGTCAATGGTGACTCTGGCTACGTGGCTGAGGTCACCTACCAGGGAGAGGCTCAGTACCCTCACTACCAACCATCCTACCATCCTGCTCCATCTATCCTAAACCATCCTACAAGTCTTCTCCATCCTATCATCCAACTCCAAGCTACAGTCCACTGCCAGTCTATGCATAACTCTCACCGTGTATTTACTTCTTATATTTATCAATAAACTGAGAACAAGCTATGATCATCTTTGAATCCCAATGTAATAGTTTCTGATACATTTATCTAGAATGGATAGTGCTTTTAACATGACCCAGTCATTACTCACCCACCCACCTCACCACTACCCCAGTTTCAACCAGCCATCACCCAACCACCAAGTTCAGCTCCACCGGTGCACTACACAAACACCCACCTTTTTTCTAGTCAACAGTGCTGTCTACTGATGCTTTAGTAAACCATGACAACATCCATGCAGCAGCTAGAGTCTACTTCTGTGAATGGAAGTTCACTGATAACTATTTTAATTAAAATATAAAAAAAAAAAGATAACTATTTTAATGTGAGATTTGAGACTAGTACGATTAGAAGACAGAGAACCGAGACTCTTATATCTTAGTGATGCGACGACAAAGACAGGAACAACATTTCACTTAATATAGAGCTTAATCATGATCTGATAGAGCTCTTCACAAAACGAAACCTGATTGTTTCCTTACACGAAATTCCCTTCTAGTACACATAAACCTATATCAGTACCACTTACATTTTCACTTTTAATTCACAATTTGGAGAGTCTTGATCATAGTTTATAGTTAACTATTATCAAAACTTCAAAATGGTCCAAGATGAGCCGTAACATCAAAATTTTTTTGATTACCTCCAATTCCTTAAAATCTTTAGAACTCCTATGAGTTTAACGCTTCTCATGAACATATTTAATGTAAACTAATCTTGTTTGTGTTAAACAAAATTACTCCACATCAAGGTGGAAAAATCACGAGACGTGATCATTACTTCAGCACCAAAGGTAAACAACAGTTTTGGTCAATTTTTTGGGTGGTTGATTAATGGAGTTTAAAGCTCGTTTAGTACGCGAGGGTCGTTAAGCTGTACGTCAGACACTCATAACCAATTACAATATTTTAACCCATAAAACAAGAGATTAAACTTATCATAAACAGACATATACTTCACTGTGTATATCCAGTGATTAGCTTTTCTGCCCATTAAACTCTTTCCTGATAATCAAGTAAATATTGCAAACAAACAATAACTAGATATATAAATCACAAATAAATATTAGATTATTTATTGAAACAATTGTTATTGATATACAATGAAAGATTTTCCTCAAATATTATTTTTTGGCTAAACTCAAAATTTCCATACTGACCTGTCCTACCTAATGTAAAGCTTACTGGCGATTTGGACTATATAATTTGCATACTAACTTAACCATAAATAAATTTTAGCCATACACTGGGATGGGCCTATAGGCTTGGAGAGGAGTGAAGCTGGGGCTGGCCTATAGGCTGGCTGGTAGGTCGGGTATCTGGCTTCTCCTTGGTAGGTGACCTCAGCCAGGTAGCCAGAGTCACCACTGACAGTGTAGGCCACCTGCTGCAGACGACCGTCGGGGAGCTGCACGTAGTACGACCCCTGAGTGTGGTCACCATCACGAGACTCCTGGTGACCGAAGTCGTTGCCGGAGGGAGGGTCGTTCACAGCATAGTCGAAGCTGTACCGTGCTGGAGCCTACCAAGGAGAAAATGGAATGAGCACTTAGATTTATTCTCAAAATAATGCTTTCATTCGTGAATATTTTCAGAATACATTCTGAAGCTCGTGCTTTATGAACATGCATAGATTTTGAAGCCAAAAAAATGGTAATTACCCTTATTTTCTGGTAAGCAAAGCCATGAAACTGTTTTAAGCTCAATAGATAAAATGCTTTCAGTGCATATCTATGAGAAAACGAATAGTAGTGAACCAGGTAACAGCCAGTTAAGAGGCAGGGCCAGGAGCTGTGAATACACACCTATAAAAAAGAATAGGTATAAACAAGGTTACTTTACCGAAGTGTAGGATGGTGCTGGTCTGTATGATGGTGAGAATCCGTATGGTGGTCCAGATGGTGCTGCCACAGCGGCTGCAGCCACAGTTAGTACAAGAATGACCTGGTGATGAAAATGAAGAGTTTGAGACCTATTAAACCCAGAAAAGTAGTGATAATAAAAAGTGTTAAAAAAAAATCTTTTATTTATTGTGCAAAATGTTTGGTTCGCTGCCTCAGGTGAATGACTTAAGTCACATGAGAAAGTTCACAAGTGAGCGAAAAGTTTCTTCTGAGTCCTTTTATCATAATGTGTCGTCTCTTGCATAATGTGTCGTCCCTTTTATCATAATGTGTCGTCTCTTGCATAATGTGTCGTCCCTTTATCATAATTGTCGTCTCTTGCATAATGTGTCGTCCCTTTTATCATAATTTGTCGTCTCTTGCATAATGTGTCGTCCCTTTTATCATAATGTGTCGTCTCTTGCATAATGTGTCGTCCCTTTTATCATAATGTGTCGTCTCTTGCATAATGTGTCGTCCCTTTTATCATAATGTGTCGTCTCAGTACGGAGGTACTGCACAGACTTAGACGTAATAACCCAGGATAATCCATTTAGATAATTGAATTACCATATATTAGCCACTTGGACTACAAAATAATAGATTTTTAGCCAAAAAAATTACTTCTGGTGGTGTCAAGGAAATAGTCTAAAAAAAGGGTAAATCCTGACGTCCTACCCCAGGATACAAACAACCATTAATTAACAACAAACTAAATTCAGCTTAACAATTTATTGCAAGTCAAACAGGGGTGGGAGGTCTAACCATCTTTACATGCCTCGTTCCGCCTTAGATTGAACCCAGGACCCTTCCATTATGACCTATGAAGACATATTAGTCTGACTTATGTATACATGTATTACTGACGGAAGTTATGAATATAATATCATGTATATAATAACATCTGATATCAAGTCTGAAAAATCAACATTTCGCTATTGTAAAAATTCTGTGGAACACCATGATGATTTACCTTCATGGTGGTGATGGTGATGGTAGTGTGCGGTGCCCAGCCATGCTGCTCCGCTGCTTATATACCCTCCCAAGGACCTCTGGGTATGTCGTGATACCCAGCATGCAACAACTGGGTTAAACACAAAAAGTCAGGAAAGCTGCGGATAAATAGTGAAAATGTGGACTGGGTCACTAAGATCATGTGTCATGCATGGATCACGTTGTGTACAAGGACACTCTGAAGCCTCTTCGTATGTTTCCAACACTCAGTAATCCTATAACACACATTTTCACAGTATACACAAATGTGCGGGTTATTTGTGTATCGTTCCAGACACGGTATTGTGCCTTTTTTTGTTATTTCACAGTATTTTTGAATGCAGTTATGAAAACATGGAGACACACACACATGGACCTTAATTTGAGATATCTATTTCTTGGAAACCAAGTTTTTTCAAATCTTTAGAGAGTATATATGGTACATGGAACCATATAGACAAAGTGGCTACTGTTTAGAGGTGTGTATGACATGAGCATGTGAATATCTGTTAAGATCAAGTCGTCGAGTTTGACGAATAAGATTAGTCCGTGTTCTGAACACTTTTTTTTATCCCGTGTCTGTCATGTTGATGCTAATGTCTTCTGGTGAGATTGTCTCTCTCTAGTTGCTGCAGCATCCCAACACCTGAGCTCTAGTATGGTTAACCTGTTTTCCCAGAGTTCCTTCAAAGATATCAGTATATTGCCTGAATCTCAGATGCTGTTTACGTTTTGAGATGACTTTATCTCTGATATTCTTAAAAGAAAAACTGACCCGTGTGATGATCAGCAAAAGTCATCCAGTGTGATGCACCATGACAGGAAAAGATCATTTGCAATCGAGACTGAAAAGAAAAAATCTTGCACGACAGAGTCGTGTACGTACAAGGTATACAGACCATAGCTGACATGAATGACATACTACTATATAGAAAGCCGCTTGTTATGCTGAACATTTCTCGCAAATTAGGTCAGTTTTGTCTCAGGATACGACCCACACAAGTCCACTAACACCTAGATACCTATTTTACTGATGGGTGAACATAGACAGCCGGTATAAGGAAACACGTCCAATGTTTCCACCTCTTCGCCGGGAATCGAACCTGAACCCTCACCGTGTGAAGCGAGAGCTTTTGCCACCATGCCACGGTGCACCGTGACACTGTTTTCTTCATGAGTGGTCCTGGTACTAGTTTTAAATAATTTTCTACCATTTACGTTGTCTTAACTTGATTTTACATAGTTTTTTATTATATATATTCTCTAATTTGATGTATCAAGGGGCTTTGTTAATCGTTTTTTTAGTTACAGAGAATAAAAACACAATTCTGTGGCTGGAATAATTCGCTAATATAACACACTGACTTTCGTGGATTATTCTAGGTTAAATTTGTTTAAGTTACCGCTATTGTGTGTCTGAAACTATTGTGTTTAATGTAACTATTGTTAATCTTGAGAAAAGAGAAAGTTATCAGTGCATCACTAGAGAGGGTTAACTTGAACCAGTGTATAACAAAGTAGACGAAGAAACGAGGTTAAAAAAGTTAAACGAATCTATAAATTACTGTTGCAAAGTAATCGAACCCATCGGAATAAGAGATTTCTTTCAAATTTTTATTAACATTTGATTGTGATGTAAATTATTTTATTTTAGAAAAAATCGGAAAATTTTACTCCTTGACGATTTTTTGCCTTACTGATGTTTTCTAAATCGTCAAGTAAAGGCAGCTGACACTACTTCATTACAAGATGACGTGTTGAGTCAGTGACGGAGGTACCGTGGCACTATGACGGAGGTACTGTGGCACTATGACAGAGGTACTGTGGCACTATGTGCCAGGTAGCTATGCTAACAGGGGGTTGTCTGATAAAGACCCTCTTTGACCTCTGTACTGCAGTACTTTTTTGGGTTACTATTCGCTGTATTATTGTGCGGGTGTATAATAATACAATCTCAGTTGAAGCACGAATATAGGGGAACCGAAAACATTATGGTGAACCCAGCCTGTAGACAGCCGTGACTCACCTAAACTGGACTCAGTGGGTGTCCCACAAGGCACAATAATAAACTGTCACCCACATAGCTTAGCATAATAGGTAAGGGTTACATGAAGTAAATATTCTCCTGTTACTTCACTAATAAAATAAATAAGATTAATCTGACTGGATTAACCTGAGCCATTTCCGGGTTTTATCGGAAGAATACATGTCTGAAGACATCCAGACTTCACTTAATTTATTTTTCAGTATATCTTGGCAGGCACAATATTGTGGAATACGTGAATGCGTTCTTTTTATAAATTTATGTTATCTACGACCCCACAATTATGCATATTTTAGCGTGGCTCTGCGGTTGATGTCCGCATTGCTTGGTCAGTCAGGTTAAGCAGTGTTGTGTTTGTGTAGTTGTGAGTGTGTTTGTTGTTGGATTGGAAGGTCGTAGCTCTCTCAGGAAAGGGGCGTGGTGACTTCTGTAGGAACTACAGTAAACACTCCACTCCTCCCTCCCTCCAGCACTCCCACCCTGGGAGAGGCTCAGTATATAACTCCACAGCTCTGGTCAACATCATTCATTCTCTCGTCCCAGCAACAACATGAAGGTGAGATGCAACTACTGAAAAGTATTTACTTTCATTTTTCTGAATTATCAATTATATTTAAGAATTTTACTGAAGACCTGTTTTTATAGACATAATTGCCGTTCTTCCACAAATTATGTGGGCAATCGAAGTGTTGGTTATCAACCACTAAAGTTTATGTCTCTGTTTCTCTATATTTATCCATGTTGAGTATCGCATTCTGGTCGTCAACACAAAAATAATGCTTGTCGTTTCTTTACACAGGTGGTATTTGCTCTAGCCATGGTGAGTGTCGTGGTGGGTGTGCCACCACAGTATGGTTACCCTCCTGCCCGACACTATAGGCCCACTCCATCCTACCCTCCTGCCCCACATTACAAACCCACTCCATCATACAGCCCAGCTCCCTCCTACCAGCCAGCTCCCTACCATCCCACTCCATCCTACAAGCCATCCCCGTCCTATGATGTAAGTTATCTAGGAATATTTAATTGCTTATTTATTTATTATATATTTTAGATATGAAAAAACTAAAATTATTTAATATAATTCTAAGAGAAAATAACATAACACATTCTGTGCCAGTTTATGTTGTGATCATTCCACAGAGTCATCCTCGGTACGACTTCAACTATGCTGTGAAAGACGACTATTCTGGTAACGACTTCGGTCACCAGGAGACTCGTGATGGCTACAACACCCAGGGGACTTACTACGTGCAGCTCCCTGACGGTCGTCTGCAGCAGGTGACCTACACTGTCAATGGTGACTCTGGCTACGTGGCTGAGGTCACCTACCAGGGAGATGCTCAGTACCCTCACTACCAACCTTCCTACACTACTGCTCCATCCTATCCTAAACCATCCTACAAGCCTTCTCCATCTTATCATCCAACTCCAAGCTACAGTCCTCTGCCAGTCTATGCATAACTGTCATCGTGTATTCATATCTTGACATAATATTTATCAATAAACTGAGAACAAGCTATGATCCTCTTTTAACCCCAGTGTAACAGTTTCTGTCACATTTATGAAGAATAGACAGTACATTTAACATTATTCATCCACACACCTCACCATTATCCAAGCTTCGCCCACCCATCACCCAACCACCAAGTTCAGCTCCACCAATGCGTTCAGCTCCACCAATGCATTGCACAAACACCAGCGTCTTTTCCAATCAAAGGACTATGTACTGATGCCTTAGTAGATCGTGACGACAATTATGCAGCAGCTGGAGTCTGCCTCTGTGCATGGAAATTCTCTGACAACTTTTGGAATGTGAGAGTCGACATTAGGCAGATTAGAGAACGGAGAACAGAGCATTTACATTTTAGTGCTTCGTCGACAATATTCAGTTACAGAAGAAGCTTACATTGGGACATTTCACTATAGAGCTTTATCATAAGTTGATAGAGCTCATAACATAACGAAAGCTGATTGTTTCCTTCTAATACACATAAATCCAAATTAGTACAATTTACATTTTCACTTTTAATTCACAATTTAGAGAGAAAAAGTCTTGATAATGGTTTATAGCAAACTATTATGAAGACGATATAATGGATCCAAGACAGTCCAAACAATATAAATTTGCTTTGATTACCTACAGTTCCATAGAAGTTGTATATCTTGTGCTCAGCTTTTCTGTCCATTAAATCTCTTTCCTGATAATCAAATAAATATTGCAAACAAACGATAACTAGATATACAAATCACAATTAATATTGGATCATTTATTGAAACAATTGTTATTGATACACAATACAAGGTTATTCTCAAATATTATTTTTTGGCTAAACTCAAAATTTCCATGCTGACCTGTCCTGCCTAATGTAAAGCTTACTGGCGATTTCGACTATATAATTTGCATACTAAATTAATCATAAATGAATTTTTAGCCATACACTGGGGTGGGCCTAAAGACTGGGAGTGGTGTATAGGTTGGGGCAGGCCTGTAGGCTGGCTGGTAGGTCGGGTACCTGGCTTCTCCTTGGTAGGTGACCTCAGCCAGGTAGCCAGAGTCACCACTGACAGTGTAGGTCACCTGCTGCAGACGACCGTCGGGGAGCTGCACGTAGTACGACCCCTGAGTGTGGTCACCATCACGAGACTCCTGGTGACCGAAGTCGTTGCCGGAGGGAGGGTCGTTCACAGCATAGTCGAAGCTGTACCGTGCTGGAGCCTACCAAGGAGAAAATGGAATGGCCAGTTAAGATTTATAACCAAAATAACGTTTTCCGTTTGTGAATATTTTGAAAGTAGATAATATAAATTACAATAATATGGCTTGAACAATTCACAACTGAACCACAATTTGGAATGACAACAGTAAACGATGTTGATGTCCATCCTGGACCATTGTCAGTTGGTCCAGGATGTCCCGAGCCTTCATGTAAAGCTTTCTCTCAAAATTGTGGATTAGTTGCTATTTGCTTCAATATTATTTTCTAAACTTCATATAACGAGTCACTTAAATTGCTTGCAACATCTCAGTATGTATATGTACGAAGTCTCAAGCTTATGGAAGTATATTAAGCTCACTAACAGATAAAATTCTTTTCTTGCATAATACCTACCACGTAAAACATGAATAGCCATAAGGCTGACTCCAAACATCGCTAAAACTATAGGAATTATAGCAACTACGAGGCTATAGGAGTGAACCAGGTAACAGCCATGTTCAGAGGCAGGGCCAAGAGCTGTGAATAAACCCCTATAACCAGGAATAGGTGAGTATAAACAGGGTTACTTTACCGAAGCGTAGGATGGTGCTGGTCTGTATGATGGTGCTGGTGAGAACCCGTATGGTGGTCCAGATGGTGCTGCCATACCAGCTGCAGCCAGAGTTACTACAAGAATGACCTGGTGAAGAAATGAAGAGTTTGATACTTAATAAACCCAGAAAAGTAGTGAAAATAAAGTGTCAAAGGCCAAATCTTATTAATGGTGCAAAATGTCTCGTTCGCGAAACGTTTTGTACCTTTAATAACAAAATTTCTTCCATTTAAGTCTTATCATAATGTGTCGTCTCTTGCAACAATTTTACATACAAAGACTTATTAATCTAATTTAACCCATTTTGAAATGTAACTAAAATAATTTATATTTAGCCAAAATAGTTTTGCTGATACACGGGAAATAATTTGAAAAAAAGAAAAAAATCGTAAATGCTTACGTCCTGCCCCAGGATGCAACCCACAACAGTCGACTAAAAACCCATGGTAACAATTTATTACAAGGAGAACAGAGGTAATAGACTTAAACATCATTCATGCCTCGTCCCGCCTTAGATTGAACTCAGATTCTTTCTATTGTGACCTATGGCACCCCGTATATTAGACTGACTTATACATACATGTATTACAGACTGGAATTATGAATATAATAGCCTTTTATATGTAATATCTGATATCAAGTCTGAAAAATCATTATTTTCCGTTGCAAAAATTTATCAGAAATACCGTGATGGGTTACCTTCATGGTAGTGATGGTAGTGTGTGTGGTGCCCAGCCATGCTGCCTCACTGCTTATATACCCTCCAGGGACCTCTGGGCATGTCGTGATGCCCAGCATGCAACAACTGGGTTAAATAGAAAAAAAAGACAGAAATATTGTGGATAAAGAGTGAAAATATGGACTGCGTCAGTGGATGCAAAGTGACAGGCATCAGTCACGCTTGTGTAGGTATACCGGACATCAGCTGCGTCCTCCCAGGACATCAGCTGCGTCCTCCCAGGACATCAGCTGCGTCCTCCCAGGACATCAGCTGCGTCCTCCCAGGACATCAGCTGCGTCCTCCCAGGACATCAGCTGCGTCCTCCCAGGACATCAGCTGCGTCCTCCCAGGACATCAGCTGCGTCCTCCCAGGACATTTCCCACACTCGGTAATCCTATCACAGCATTTTTCACTCATTTATGAAAAATGAAGACAAAAGAAGGTGGACGTTATATTTACATATCTTCTTCGAATCAACCTTTTTAAAAATTGGAGAGAGAGTACATTTTGGAATTGGGAATATATACAGAGTAATAATAATAATAATAATAATAATAATAATAATAATAATAATAATAATAATAATAATAAATAAATAATAAATAATAAATAATAAATAATAAATGCGAGGGTCTTGGCAAGAGGCGTGGAGTTAAAAGATAAAGAATCACACACAAAGTGGGAGTGTCACAGCTGCTCTTGCTGATGACACTGTGCTCTTGGGAGATTCTGAAGAGAAGTTGCAGAGATTGGTGGATGAATTTGGTAGGGTGTGCAAAAAGAAAATTAAAGTGAATACAGGAAAGAGTAAGGTTATGAGGATAACAAAAAGATTAGGTGATGAAAGATTGAATATCAGATTGGAGGGAGAGAGTATGGAGGAGGTGAACGTATTCAGATATTTGGGAGTGGACCGTGTCAGCGGATGGGTCTATGAAAGATGAGGTGAATCATAGAATTGATGAGGGAAAAAGAGTGAGTGGTGCACTTAGGAGTCTGTGGAGACAGAGAACTTTGTCCTTGGAGGCAAAGAGGGGAATGTATGAGAGTATAGTTTTACCAACGCTCTTATATGGGTGTGAAGCGTGGGTGATGAATGTTGCAGCGAGGAGAAGGCTGGAGGCAGTGGAGATGTCATGTCTGAGGGCAATGTGTGGTGTGAATATAATGCAGAGAATTCGTAGTTTGGAAGTTAGGAGGAGGTGCAGGATTACCAAAACTGTTGTCCAGAGGGCTGAGGAAGGGTTGTTGAGGTGGTTCGGACATGTAGAGAGAATGGAGCGAAATAGAATGACTCAAGAGTGTATCAGTCTTGTAGTGGAAGGAAGGCGGGGTAGGGGTCGGCCTAGGAAGGGTTGGAGGGAGGGGGTAAAGGAGGTTTTGTGTGCGAGGGGCTTGGACTTCCAGCAGGCATGCGTGAGCGTGTTTGATAGGAGTGAATGGAGACAAATGGTTTTTAATACTTGACGTGCTGTTGGAGTGGAGCAAAGTAACATTTATGAAGGGATTCAGGGAAACCGGCAGGCCGGACTTGAGTCCGGAGATGGGAAGTACAGTGCCTGCACTCTGAAGGAGGGGTTTTATGTTGCAGTTTAAAAAACTGTAGTGTAAAGCACCCTTCTGGCAAGACAGTGATGGAGTGAAATGATGGGGGAGTTTTTTCTTTTTTCGGGCCACCCTGCCTTGGTGGGAAATCGTTGTGGTTGATAATAATAATAAAAAATAATAATAATAATAATAATAATAATAATATATTTCTACATGTACATGTACAAGGTATACAGACCATAGTTGACATCAATGACATACTAATATATAGAAAGCCGCTTGTTATGCTGAGCATTTCCCACAAATTAGGTCAGTTTTGTCCCAGGATGCGACCCACACCAGTCCACTAACACCCAGGCACCTATTTTATACTGATGGGTGAACATAGACAGCAGGTGTCTCATGGAGACACGTCCCTAATGTTATCCAGCCGTACCAGAGAAGAGGTGTGTATGGACTATGTGAATATCTGTAAAGATTAAGTCATGAGTCTGTAGAATACGTTAACCCGTATGCCGAATGCTTCCTTATCCCCTTGTCCATGATGGTGTCAGATCTGATACTTGATACCGATTGTCTTGTGGTCCGACTCTCTCCACTTGCTGCAACATCCCAACAGATTTTTCTGTACTTAAGCCTGGTTAACCTGTTTCCTCCGAGTTCCTTCATATGTATCAGTTTATTGCCCTGAATTTGAAGTACTTTTTGCGTTTTGAGGTGGATGCATCTCTGATATTCTTTCAACAGAAACACAGAGCCGACTCTTAGTTTCTGGAAAACTACGTAACAAATAACAAAAAAAGGCACAATACCGTGACTGGAACGATACACAGATAACCCGCACATAAAAGAGAGAAGCTTACGACGGCGTTTCGGTCCGACTTGGACCATTTACAAAGTCACACTAACCAGAAGTGGAGCAGGACGGCTATATATAGGCAGGAAGAGGTGGTGGTAGTAGTAATAGTAGTACAAGAATGGTATATAATACCGACAAGATGAAATTAAGACACATGCGCAACACCCGGGCTGGATGGCGAAACGTTACGATAGAGATGCCCGGGTGTTGCGCATGTGTCTTAATTTCATCTTGTCGGTATTATATACCATTCTTGTACTACTACTACTACTACTACGACCACCACCTCTTCCTGCCTATATATAGCCGTCCTGCTCCACTTCTGGTTAGTGTGACTTTGTAAATGGTCCAAGTCGGACCGAAACGTCGTCGTAAGCTTCTTTCTTTTATGTGCGAGTTATTTGTGGATTCTATGTAATGGAGTCAGACAGGATAAACCATCGAGTGTGAGAGTTCTATAACCCTAGGTGTTGGAGAATGATAGGGAAACTACAACGTCTGAATGTAATATCGTATAGCAGGAAAACTAACGTGTGTGATTGGCATAATAAGAAAGTTATGGTGTGTGACTCATTGCTCTCAGATGTTTCACAAAAATACGTCCGCCGAAACAAACTGCAATTAATCTGTTTTTAAGCACATCTTAGCTGACACATCCACACATATCCTTATTTAAATACACTCATCCTGGGATACTTGTATACTTTCTCTTTTATAATTTAAAGATATTTCTGACCCTAGAAGTAGGCATAAAGAGGAGCTGCAGTTGAAATGATTGGTGAGTCAGGTTAAGCAGTGTTGTGTTTGTGTAGTTGTGAGTGTGTTTGTTGTTAGATTGGAAGGTCGTTTGACTCAAGAAATCGTAATGACATGTTGACGGCAGTGAAGGGACTTGAGCTAGAGTTCGTCACGGCCACGCTAGCTGGAGATTCGTCTGTAAAAACTTGCATTTGTGGTCACAGTGGTGCCTGTGCTAACCTTCCTATGGTGTAGAAATATACCTAGTTGGATGAATCTTATTGTGGCTAGCTGGTCTAGTGGCTAACACGACGGGCTGGAGTTTTGAGACTCTATGACAGCGGGTTCAATCCCGGCCGGGGGTATGGTTTGGAAGGTCGTAGCTCTCTCAGGAAAGGGGAGTGGTGACATCTGTAGGAACTACAGTAAACACTCCACTCCTCCCTCCCTCCAGCACTCCCACCCTGGGAGAGGCACAGTATATAACTCCACAGCTCTGGTCAACATCATTCATTCTCTCGTCCCAGCAACAACATGAAGGTGATACGTAACTATTAAACAAAGTTTACCTTCATTTTTCTGAGTTACCATACGTGTTTAAGAATTTTACTGAAGACCTGGTTTTATAGACATAATTGCTATTCCACAAATTATATGGGGCATTGAAGTGTTGGTTATCAGCTACTAAAGTTTATGTCTCTGTTTCTCTATATTTATCCATGTTGAGTAGTGCATTCTGGTCGTCAACACAAAAATAATGTTTGTCGTTTCTTAATAAAGGTGGTATTTGCTCTAGCCATGGTGGGTATCGTGGTGGGTGTGCCACCACAGTATGGTTACCCTCCTGCCCCACACTACAAACCCACTCCATCATACAGCCCAGCTCCCTCCTACCAGCCAGCTTCCTACCATCCCACTCCATCCTACAAGCCATCCCCGTCCTATGATGTAAGTTATCCAAAAATATTCAATTGCTTATTATGTATTTGTTATATATTTTAGATATGAAAAAGTTAATATATAATGTAAATCTAAGAGAATATAACATAACACATGCCATGCCAGTTTATGTTATGATTATTTCACAGAGTCATCCTCGGTACGACTTCAACTATGCTGTGAAGGACGACTATTCCGGTAACGACTTCGGTCACCAGGAGACTCGTGATGGCTACAACACCCAGGGGACTTACTACGTGCAGCTCCCTGACGGTCGTCTGCAGCAGGTGACCTACACTGTCAATGGTGACTCTGGCTACGTGGCTGAGGTCACCTACCAGGGAGAGGCTCAGTACCCTCACTACCAACCTTCCTACCATCCTGCTCTATCCTACAAACCTGCTCCATCCTACCATCCTACTCCAAGCTACACCCTGGACCCGTCTATAGCTGAATTCCTAAATCGTGAAATGAGCGAACTACCAATCTGTATTGACCCTGTGAATTATATTTATAAATGTTTTTGAAATTTTACAAAGAATTTTTCTTCTCCAAATGAAGTTTTTTCTTGATTTATCGTAAGTGTACACTCACTTTTTTTTTTTTTTTTATAGGCAGAAAATGTTGAGATTTTTCAAGAATTTAATCCTAAAGACGTATACCCTACCATATTTACATGGGAGGTATTTATATCATGTGTGGTCTCCGTGCGCACACATATAGAGAGATGCACTCATAAAAATACATTAAATTTAAAACAAAAAATTGACTACCAAAAATAAAGCCACACTCTCTAAAATACCGAAGGTGACTGGTGATACCCGGAGAGGGTTTGGCGAGTCACTACCCCTGAGGCCCCCGTCTGTGACCAGATTAATTTATGGAGAGACTATTAATCG